TGATACATGCATACACCTTATGGTAATTGAATCAAGCCAATTAACATCGCCATCATTTCACACATCATTTTTGACGGCAAGAATTATACTCCAGTTGTTACAAAGCAAATAAGGGAGATCCTGTGAGGAGCTGGAGTTTGGAGAACTGTGGTAAAGGTCTCTGACTAAGGGCTCAGGCTCCTGCCTTCAGCCTGGCCCGGCTCTGGCTGTTGCGACCATTTGGAGAGTGAACCAATAGATGGAAGATATCTGTCTCCCTCTCCTTAGAACACTACCTTCCAAATAAATATGTAGATCTTGGACAGAAAATTTTAGAAAGTTTCTTGCTTGGGAAATGCTTTTGAAACCCCATAGTTTTGTACATAATATGCTTTTCCCATGAGCTGTTGTCACAGCAAACCTACAGGAGTGTTGGACTTTTCAAACAAATTACTTGAATTACTCTGGTTCAGCCTGTGGAAAAAATGCCTATGCAGTGAGCAAGAAAAAAGGAGATGGTGATGGTGTTGGTGCAGAATTATTTAAAGAGGTTTGATGATGAAGGAACGTTCCAACAGGCAGGGTTGAAGAGGCCTAGGGGCTGGGGAGGACAGGGCTGTTAAGGTGGGCAGAGCAGAGCTTGCTCACGCATGCCCTGAACCACAGGCATCACAGGTGCCTCCACAGCAGGCCTTTAGCACAGTTGAATTCTCCCAACTCCAATGTCTCACTCCAGCTTCCTGCTGCTGCAGATCCTGGGAGGAAGCGGGTGATGGCTCAAGGAACTGAGTCCCAGAAACCCTCAGAAGAGACCTGGATGGCGTTCCTGGCTCCCCAGCCCAGCTAAGGCCATTGCAGGTATGTGAAGACTGAGGCAGCTGATGGGAGTGTTTCTCTCTCTCTCTCTCTCTCTCTCTCTCTCTCTCTCTCTCTCTCTCACACACACACACACACACACACACACAGAGGCATTCTCAAAAAAACAAAACAGATGCAGTCCCTGCCCCACACTCTGACTCAGCGCCCAGATACCCGCATTCCTTAGGTAATCCCCTGCAGGTGCTTTCTGTGCTATGTTGAAATCTTATTTGGCTTTTGATGGGAGGGACCCTGGAGCAGGAGAAGTAAAAGTGGCAAGGTGAGGGGAGCACCCCACTGGGAAGTCAGTGGGAGTGGGGAGAGGGGAGGGAAGGGGAGGGACTCTCCTCCAGGCAACAGAGTGGCTTTTCAGGCTGGGCAGCGGGAAGGCCCTGCTGACATCTCTGCACACCTGGGGCTTGCTTTCCTTGGGTGTCTCCTCTGTGCCTTCCCCAGCAGACACGGACACCTGGAGGGCAGAACCTGTCGCTGCTTTGTTCACAGATGTGTCTTCAGACTCAGCACAGTACATGGTCCAGAAAATATTTACTGAAAGGTCAGCACTGTGGTGCCGCAGGTTAAGCGAGCAATGGATTTTTTTAAAGTTGTCTTAATTTGTGCCGTCTTACTTTTAAAAAAATAAAAAAAAAAGATTTATTTGTTTTTATTGGAAAGTCAGATATACAGAGAGGAGGAGAGAGAAGGAGATATTCTGTCCAATGATTCACTCCCTAAGCAGCCGCAACAGCCAGAGCTGAGCCAATCCGAAACCAGGAACCAGGAGCCTCTTCTGGGTCTCCCACGCGGGTGCAGAGTCCCAAGGCTTTGAGCCGTACTCCACTGCTTTCCCAGGCTGCAAGAAGGGAGTTAGATGGGAAGTGGAGCCCATGAACTGGTGCCCATATGGGATCCTGGTGCATGCAAGGTAAGGACTTAGCCACTAGGCTACTGTGCTGGGTCCAGCAATGGTTTGAATCCCAGCTGCTCCACTTCTGACTCGGCTCCCTGTTAGTGTGCCTGGAAAAGCAGCAGAGAATGGCCCAAGCGTTTGAGCCTCTGTATTCATGTGGAAAACCCAGATGGAGTTCCTAGCCTAGCCCTGGCCATTGTGGCTATCTAGAGAGTAAGCCAGTGGATGGAAGATCTAACTCTCTGTATCACTCTGCCTTTCAAATAAATAAAGGAAACTTTTTTTTAATGCTTACCAAAGAAACAGGAGAATATTACATTCATTATAACACAATGTCTAGACATTATATTTTTTTCAAAAAGCTGTCCGGAGACAAGCATCTGTCTCAAACATGTTTGGCTCTTGAGTTGCAACAAGAGCTGAACATGTTTGAGACAGACGGGGGCACAGAGCAGCAGTATAGATTGTAAATCAGTGCTGCAGAGGGTCATGCGTGTAGGGCAGAGGAAGGATTCACCAAGGAGAACCCAGAGGGCAAAGGAAAAGCCCACAAAACCCGTCATGTTCATCCAACCCAGGCCCAGTTCTCCCACCGCACCTGTTCTCTCTGCCCCTGCTCAGCGTGTTGCAGCCTGTACTGCCAGTGGAGGGGCTTTGCAAGTTGTGTGTCAGAGGGTTTTAGTAGACAAGAAAGTTCCAGAGGAGCTGAGATGCTATTGCTCTTGCTCTGCTCAGTAATTTCCCTCACAGCTGACACAGCCCTGGGTCTGGGGTGGTCCCTCCACACCGGTCTCCGAGCAGGGGCTCTGAGAGCTGAGGTCTTCTATCTAGGCAGCACTTTCTGGAAGGAATATTTTCGTTCAATTCAGCTTTGGCCTCGGGGCCTTGACTCTAAGAGGGAGCAAAGGATTAGACGGAATGGAGGATTTTCAGAGCACTTGAGCATTCACCCAGCAGCCATGACCACACCCCCAGGATTTGTGTTTGCACTGCTGCTGCTGCAGCTGGCTGAAGTTGCAAGGAGAGGAAAAGGTGGATTTGTTGCAAGGTTAAAGTAGGGTCAGATTTGCAGTCAGGGGGTAGTGGGGAAGTAGGAGGGGCAATACTGACTTCCACAGAAATGGAAAAAACAAGTCGGTCAAGTTTGCTTTCTGAGAAAGTGAGAATGTCTAAGCAGCATGCCTTGACACAGGGACCCTTGTCTTTGCCAAACTTTTCATGGCCTCCTTGTGCTGCGGTGGGGAGTTCGCTGCCAGCTCCCAGGGTCCCAGAAAAGAAGAAAGGAAGAAAAGAAGCAGCAGCACGGGGATGCATGGGGCAGGTTTCCCTCTCTTTGTCTTGAGGGACTACATGGGGCAGTTTGCATCTAGACTGCCTCCTGGGTTCTGCAGCGGTGAGCCGGGGCGGGGCGGGAATGGCATGGAGGTGCCTGGAAGGAGTCCAGGCTGGCCTTGACAGGAGTCAGCAGAGCTGGCTGGGTTCCCTGCTTGCAGCGAGCCATGCACAGGGACAGCCAAACTTCTGGCTTCCATTGGCAGCTCACCCAGGATATCTGGTTTAATTCCTTTCTTGCTTGGCTGTGACTGTGCCCCTGCGAGAGAATGTTAGTGCCTCAGAGTGAGGTCTGGCTTGCCTGGTCTTCTACTTACGGCACCAGCACTCACTGGTTCTGGGCTCCAGGAGGGGATGACAGACAGCTGTAACCATGATGCCACAAACACCCCTCTGCTCCGCAGGAGCTGTGTGTGTCCGAACAAGGCCCCTTCTCTGCGTTCTCACCTGTAAAATGGGTCTAAGAAGCAATTCCAGCACTAGCATCAAGGACTTTCTTCATGACCACTGCAGGGGGACAAGACCAGGTCTGTTATCTACCCAGCCAGAAGCTCACCCAGGAAAGCCAGCCTGGGTGCCTCACCACAGATACGAATTCAGGCTGAATCTGATGTGAGTTCAGAAGGGAGCTCCCTGGGCACAGGCTAGTAGGCAGTGAGAAGCCTGCCAGGTACAACCCCGCCCCATGCTCACTAAGTAATTGTGGCTACTGAGGGCCCAGCCCAAACTCCGGGGAGGAGTAAGGAGAAGAGGGGAGAGGGGAAGACATCACCTACACAGCCCAGGGCCTGGGGTCTGGAGAAGCGCCTGCCAGGATGCCTGGCTGGTGCCTTGGCAGGGGAGGGGCCAATTGCATTTGGTGTTTAAGATTCTGGGGTATGTTCATTACATTTTCTTTTTTAACTGGGTTCCAGCTGAGATACTTCTACTTTGGGGGTGGGGGGGTGGGGCCTGAGTCCCTCCCAGACTTGTTTTTGTCCATTTCTATGGATGTCAGTATTGCCCCTCCCACCCCCACTACCCCCTGACTGTAAGTCTGACCCTACTTTAACCTTGCAACAAATGCACTTTTTCCTCTCTTTGCAGCTTCAATCAGCAGCTAACAGAGCTCCTGTACCAACACTCCTGTACCAAAGCTGCCACACACCCAGGCAACCAAATGCCTGCATCTTCCTCCTTTCCTGTCGGAACCCCCCTTGCCTCAGGCTTTCTGCAGACCCTCAAGGCTGGGCTCCCTCTGACACCAGCATTCCTCCTCTATGAGACTAAGCTGCAGTTCCACCCTAGGTGGAGTATTTCTGCAGGGAGATTCTGGGTGCCCCTGAGAGAGCTCCCAGGCCAGGCCAGGCAGCCAGGACCACATGACTTTGTGACATCATTGTCGGGTACAACATTACTGTCTGCCACAGGCTTCTGGCTTTCTCTGAGTAGGGATGCCGTGAAAGCAGCCAGCTGTGACCCCAGACTTGCTGTTTGATCCTGGGTGGAGGTAAGACTGGAAGGCTTACAGCCAGCTAAGGGCCTTGCTTCTCAGCCACAGTGCCAGCTGCCATTGCCTGCTGGTGAGAGTCAGGGCCAAGGCTACGTGTCTGATGGGCAGGGCTCTGCTGGGATGGTCACTGGGCAGACTATCGTAAATATAGGTGTGATGCCTGCTCATAAATATTGAGCTTAATGAATTGGGGTGTTTCACTGTGTCATCCTGCCTTGTGATAACGCTTGATGAATTATTTCTTTTTGATTTTCTTCTATTTGTATGTCAGGTGGGAACCATGCCTTACCTCTATATCCTCAACACAGTGTATAATGGGTTGGCATGGTTTCTTCTTTTTTTGTCACCACTCAAATATGAGCAACATAAGCTGAAGTGCCAGAAATAAGCCCTCGTGGTCACCATAGAAACAGCCTTCCCTCTCCGCACCTTCCTGCTCGGGGTCACCCATGAGGTTCCAGCCAGTGCCAGGAACCCCAGTCAGGACTTTCCACATCTGAGACATTAATAATGACAATGTCCTTGCTTTATAAATATGTCACATTTTATTATAAAATATCAATAGATAGGGAATATGATTGTCCATCACTCTCCATGTTCCAACCTGGTCCGGTCAGTAATAAGCATAAGGTTGTTCCACGCTGGAAAGAGAATCCAAAAGGCATACACACATGGAACGCCAACAGGAGGAAAGCCAGAATTGGGGGTGCGGGTGTGAGGAGGGAGAATAGGGGCAGGAGAGAAGACAAGGGGTCCTACAAGATGAAGCCACGAGTTTTTTCTAGTGAAAGAGACAGAAAACCAAGCTGAGTGGAGAACACCCCCAGGAAGACTTGGGATGAAAATCAGCAGATGAGGGTGTTGACCCACCCAAGGCTGAGCCGGCCAAGCCAGCAGAAACTCCTGCAGACATCTAGAAAGACAAAGGGCTTGGGAAGGAAGAGTGGGGAATCATCTGTGTGAGAGCAGTGCATTTTTTTCTAAAATTTTCCTTGCTTCTGGGAATGGAGAGGCTAGAGAAGGAAACAAAACCTCTTTTTAGATCCTTTTGTTTTCACTAAAAAGGGAGAAAAATGGAGAGGCAAGAGCCTTGGAAGCTCAGAGACAGCCTGTTTCCACATCAGTCAGAGGCCCACTCACAAGTCAGCAAGAGCAGCACCTTCCTTTTGGCTCCCTGGGCCACACCCATCCCAAGTCTCAGTGTCCTGGATTGCTCTTCACCCCACATGTCCATCAAGCCCCTCTTGGGTCTCCAGCCATCACTTTCTAAGAGAACACCCACTGGTGTGAGTCATCCTTTTCTTCTCTTTCCTCCCAATTAATATTCTTCTTGTTAATCATCTCACCTCCCGGCCAGTTTCAACAAAGAACCTCAGCAAATGGAGTGCCAATGTTGGCTACCCTTCCCGGAGTCCAGCAAATCAGCATTTTGAGTCTCATTTCTCATTCAAGAGAGGGACAGAGTGTGGAGGCTCTGGGGGTGGATTCTTCTCAGAGATCATCGCGGGAAGGGGATCTGGCCCCCGCCCAGAGTCTGCTGCTCCATCAGGTAGACTGGGTAGGAGTTGGGGCCCCCATCATCATCTGGCTCGTTGTCCTCAGCGTCCTGGGTCCGTGCATGGCGTGTTCGAGTCAAGTAGCAGATCTGTGGTCAGAAGAGAAGAATGAGATGCACCTGCTACACAACTTGCTTCCCTCAACTATCTCCTCCTGAGGCCCTTTATTCCATTATTCCTGAGCCTTCAGGTTCCCTTTTTCTCAAGATCTCATCTGAGCCTTGATCTTCATTCCAGCCCCAGATCCAACACAACAAGGCCCAGATCCCATCTCTACCCACTTCTGTCCTGTATATCCTTATAGCCTTATATCCCCTCTCTTCGCACCCCTCAGCTTTCTCTCTCACACCCTTTTCATCTGAGACATGGCCTTTTCACCAATTAGAACATTCCCCATCCTGCTGTGCATTACTTATTTTTCCCCTGAGTTTTGCCACCACTGCCCCCTCCATTGCCATTTCCTCCCCCACCATCTCTTGGAGTCATCATTCCTCCTAACGCAGACCCCTAGCCTCATCCTGCCTCATTGTTTCATTCCTCTGGGACTCCCCTATCCCTTACCAAGAAAACCAGGCCAAGGAACATGAGCAGAAGAATCACAGCCACCAGAACCACGATGACTATGGCCCAGGCAGGAAATGGATCCTCCCCTTCCGTTTCTGTGGCCTGCAGACCTCCCTGTGTGACCTTATCCTGGATCGTGTGGCCTGTAACTTGTGATGTGCCGGAACTGGGATCCGTTCTAGATGTGGCGCTGGGGAAAGAATTATTGAGTGCTGGATGGGTAACCACAGTTCTGTTTAAGCAGGATGTTGTCGTGGATGTGTTCCTTGTAGTCCTAACTACAGGTCTTGGTGTTTCTGTGGCAGCTGCTGTCTTGTCAGGACTTTCTGTGGACTTCCTTGGGGATGTTGTGGTTTCTGTGTCTGCCTTGGTATTGCTTGGGTGTGCTGTAGACTTCTCTGAGCCATTTGTGGTTTCCTCTGTGGTTAATGTGGTTTTTTGGAGGGTTTCTGTGGCCTTTGTTAGGGTTTCTGTCATATCCCTGTGGGCTGATGTTGTCCTTTCTTCATGCTCTGTAGGTGCTCCTTGGGTACCTGTGATCCCCTCAGGAGCTGATGTCCTTTCTTCATGCCCTGTAGATGTTTCTTGGGTACCTGTGAGCCCATAGGCTGATGTTGTCCTTTCTTCATGCCCTGTAGGTGTTTCTTGGGTACCTGTGAGCCCATAGGCTGATGTTGTCCTTTCTTCATGCCCTGTAGGTGTTTCTTGGGTACCTGTGAGCCCATAGGCTGATGTTGTCCTTTCTTCATGCCCTGTAGATGTTCCTTGGGTACCTGTGATCTCCTCAGGAGCTGATGTTGTCCTTTCTTCATGCCCTGTAGATGTTCCTTGGGCATCTGTAATCCCATGGGATGATGTTGTTCTTTCTTCATGCCCTGTAGGTGTTCCTTGGGTACCTGTGAGCCCATAGGCTGATGTTGTCCTTTCTTCGTGCCCTGTAGATGTTCCTTGGGTACCTGTGATCTCCTCAGGAGCTGATGTTGTCCTTTCTTCATGCCCTGTAGGTGTTCCTTGGGCATCTGTAATCCCATGGGATGATGTTGGCCTTTCTTCATGCCCTGTAGCTGTTCCTTGGGTACCTGTGAGCCCATAGGCTGATGTTGTCCTTTCTTCATGCCCTGTAGATGTTCCTTGGGTACCTGTGATCTCCTCAGGAGCTGATGTTGTCCTTTCTTCATGCCCTGTAGGTGTTCCTTGGGCATCTGTAATCCCATGGGATGATGTTGTTCTTTCTTCATGCCCTGTAGCTGTTCCTTGGGCATCTGTGGTCTCCTCAAGAGCTGTTGTTGTCTTTTCTTCATGCCCTGTAGGTGTTCCTTGGGTACCTGTGAGTCCGTGGACTGGTGTAGCTGCTTCGTCATGCCCAACAGATGTTCCTTGGGTACCTGTAAGCCCATGGGCTGATGTGGTCTTTTCTTCCTGCCCTGTAGGTGTTGCTGAGGGTGCTCCATTCTCAGCAACTGATGAAGTCTCCTTTATGTGTTGTGTGGTCCCTGGGGACTTGTCTGTATGTCCATAATCCTTAGTACTTTCTGACTCCCCTGAGGGCCTTGAGGTCACTGTGGTTTTCTCTGAGAACAATGTGGTGCTTCCATGGACCTCTGTACTGCTTAAGTCATGGAAAGGAGTTGTGGCCTTGTGAGAACTGACACTTTCATTGTCTAAAGTCGTGCTCCCCTTATCTGAAGGTCTTAAACTTGTAGTAGGGACTTTTGTCACTGTTGTTCTGCTTGTCGTTGACTTAAGACATGTTGTTTTGCTCTTGGGGGTTGAAGTTGGATGTCCAGCAGTTGATCCTGTTGTTGTTGTGTTAGCATTATCAGCAGAGCGGCTGCTCCGGATGGCTTGTTTCCCACCTTGATCATTGGGGCTTTGCTTGGAAGTGGGTGGAGCTTCAGGACGAGTTGTAGAGCTTCCCTGGCCTGTAAGTTTGGAGCTGACTGTAGGTTTGTGACCTGGACTGGAAGTGGTGTTGCAGCGGCGTTTTGTGGTCTCTGTAGAACTAGGGAGCCCTGTGGGCCTTTGCCCTGATGGCAGAACCAACTGGTTGGAGGAAGAAGTGCTGGAAACAAGGCCTGAAGTGAGCAGAAGCGAAGGATCCACTGTGGAGGCTTCACCCGTCCTCTGAAGTTCTTGATGTGTAACCGCACCTGCACAAGTAGAAAAGTAAATAAGAAACCGCCCCCAAGTTCTTCCCTGCCTGCCGCCATCTCCAGGATGGTTCCCCAGGGATCTATCTCCCCAGGCAGGCTTCTCCAAATGCCTTGCTCAGGCTGTGCCCTCTGTAAACCTGCTGCCTCGGGCCGGTTCTTTCCCTCCTCTACTCCTCAACTCTTAATCCCAGGTCCTTCCGGCACCTTCTCCAATGCCCTCAAGTGAAGCCTGGCTTTGTCTCAGGGCAAATCACTCTTGCCCATGACTTTCACTTGACACCACTCTTTGTGTGCCCCTCAGCCTCCACTTCTCCTGCCATGCCCATCATGTGGCAAGGCTGTGGGAACAGGCATGGGCTTGCATTGGCTTCACCTGCACTCCTTCAGAGCCCATGTGCTGATGACAGGGGATCCTCTCCCCAGGGGATGAACTGAGAGTCAAAGGAATCATCAGAACCTCATCTACCTACCCCAACTCTGTCCCAAAACTAATAGTGTGAGAGATGAGGTGAGATTTCCAGCAGAACTTTCCACATGGTTCACAAGTGAGTGAGAGGAGTAAGTACAAGCAGAGGAGCAGAGGAAGAGTAGAGCAAGGAGCAGGTAATTTTACTTTGGAGGTGAAGTATGATCCAGACGAAGGAAGACATGAAATGACTCAACCTTGGGGTCCCCCCATGCCACTGGAGCCTTTACTTTACACCCCAAAGCCAGCAGGGGGTAGATGATTGCGGCCCCCTTAAAGGGAAGAGATGTTTGGCTTAGCAGTCTTGACAGCATCAAACAAGGCGACTAGATTGTGGGAGGTCCCAGCTGGGAGTCGGGACAAGCGGACACAAATCTTAACTCTACAAGGAAGCAATCCAATGGGACTTGATGAGGTGTCTCTGGTATGTGGTCCAGAGAGCAAGAACGAGGAGATCCCCTCAGGGACTGTGTCCTTACACAGCTGAGATTTCCCAGCTGTTAGCTCAAGGCAACAACCAGAACCTGCACCTGTTCCCAATCATGGGCAACCACAATCCACCCAGCCCCTCGCTGACAAGTAACAGAGGGGACTATGAGCAAACATGGCGAGACAAGAGAAGGGTGATACTGAGACCCAAGTGACTCCAGGGAACCAAGATCAGGGAAGAGAGGAGGGGATGCTTCCTGTCATCCTCCTGCTGGGCCAGTTTCAGTCTCCGATTCCTTGGAGGCCACAGCAATGGCAGCCTCCATCGGCCAGACCCAGGCACCCAGGCCTTTGCACCCCCAGACATTGTCTTGCTGGACTCTCTTCTGCCATGATCAATCTCCCACCTTCCACATCAGCTCCCTCAGGAGCTATCAACCCTGCTTCACATCTGGAGAACATGAATTTCACAGAAGAAATGCTGCCCCCAGCAGGGGCCACAGCCAACCATTGGGGTGTACTCATTAGAAGGCGGGGCCTATGAGGAGGACATACATTCACTCTGACTCTCCTTGGAGGCTGAAAATCATTCTCGGCCTTTCCCTTTGAGGGTCAAGGCTCAGAGACATTGCACAATCTCCCCAAGAACACCCAGCAAGTTGAGCCAGAGTCTGAATGCAAGTTCTAGACTGTGAGCCCCAGCCCTTACCGATTAAGGTCACAGGGCACAGCCTGTGAGGTGTTTCTGGCTCTCTGGGAAAGAAGGACACTGATATTTGGGAAGCTCCTGTTGTATGATGTTCACATCATTTGGTTTTTGAATTTTTCCCATGAAATCACAAAGCCAAAACCATGATCATTCCATTTTACAGGTGGGAAGGGGAAGCAGAGAGCAAGGTCAGGTCATGGGCAAAGCCAGGTTCAGTACTGCAGCCCCAGGCTCGGCTACACGGTAAGGGATTGCACAGCCAACGGAACAGCAGCAGCTCAGAGCAGCAACTCAGCCTGGCTGGACAGTCAGAGGACAAAGCTGCAGCTGGAACCCAGGCTCCACGCCTCGCCAGTGCCACAGCCTTGCCCCGGTCCCTTCAGCACTCCAACACCTTCAACCCTGGATAAGAAGGATGCTCCCTGTCTCAGCTCAGGGTGAGGGTTAGGAAATGTGGAACATAAAAACACGGGATGAACTGCAGACTTCAAATCAGGCCCATGCTATGCCTTGTCACCCTCCCAGCTGCAGGAGTGGCAGAGCCCAAGTCTCCCCATCTGTCTGGAACAGCCCAGGGGTCTCTCCTGCACCCCCTGCCTCCTCACCTCTGTAAGGCAGCCCTGTGCCTTTCTGGGTCACTTCTCCTGCAATGTCTCATCAATACCCACTTCTTAGTAGTATACTGTAAGTGCGCTTTTATTTCCACCATGGCAGGAGTTTTCATCTTGTTTATCTATAGAATGGTGTGTGGCCCATAGGAGGCCCTTCATAAATATGAACTGGATGATGAATGAAAGAAAACTTATAGAGGCTGGCCTTGTGGCATAGCAAGCTAAGCCTCCAACTGCGATGCCAGCATCTTATATGAGCACTCACTATAGTCTCAGCTGCTTCACTTCTGATCCAGCTCCCTGCTAATGATCTGGGAAAGCAACAGATTACCCAAGCACTTGGGCCCCTGTTACCTACACAGGAGACCCAGATAGAATTCCTGACTCTGGACCTTGACCTTGTTCAACCCTGGCTATTACAGCCATCTGGGGAGTGAATGAATGGAAGACCTCTCTCTCCCTGCAACTAATTTTCAAATAAGACAAATATAGAAATATATCTGTACTTTAAGGCAGATGGGAACTCCTCAGAAGTATCACTAACAACTGTTCATTAAGCTAAGACAAACATATTGACAACCTCTAAAGACTGGACCATGAAAGGATGACTTTGCCATGTTAGATAATTAAGGGCCTGAGATCTATGATGTGGGAAGGAGGCCTTTAGTCATCTGGGCTGTCAGTCATCATCAGGATCAGTTGGCAACTAGATGCAGAGAGCTAGGTCTTACACTTCCATGTCTGCATCGAAACATCATGGGGCCATAGACGGTTAGGCCCGGGGTGGAGCCCTGGCAAGTCCTTGCTCCTATGATCATGTAGCCGAGCAGTAACTGCACTCCCAGAATGAAGGGGCCATCTCCTCTCTACCTGGGGCAGCAACTTCATTTTCCTGAGAGGTTCTCACCGTGAGATATTCATTTCACTTACTACAATAATGACCTGGAAGGAACTGTCTTTCCCACCAGCTGATCCTGTTTGAAAAGGAAGACATCAGCCCAGCCACTCACACCTCACCCAGAAAGACATTGTTGGTGCTTCTTGGGGTCCTAGTCCCCCCCAAAGTGGCTTACTGCATTGACAATAATGCAGGTAAATGTTCACTAAAAAGTGTGTTCAGTAGGAGCTCAATATGTGACCTAAAACTCAGGCACAGGAAAAAAAAAAATTAAGGGAAAACAGGTGCAAATGGTTGCCTAAATTCTAAAGATTTTTCAGAGGGATTTATTTCTTCCATACTTCACGTACTATAGGGAGCACACATTATTTTCATCATAGAAATTAAGTAACATTCATTGTAGAAAGTCCTTTTAAGATTCTCTGAGGATGGGCCCGGCGGCATGGCCTAGCAGCCAAAGTCCTCACCTTGAACATGCCGGGTTCCCATATGGACTCTGGTTCTAATCCCAGCAGCCCCGCTTCCCATCCAGCTCCCTGCTGTGGCCTTGGAAAACAGTTGAAAACAGCCCAAATCCTTGGGACCCTACACCCGAGTGGGAGACGTGGAAGAAGTTCCTGGATCCTGGCTTCGGATCGGCATAGCACCGGCCGTTGCGGCCACTTGGGGAGTGAATCATCGGACGGAAGATTTTTCTCTGTTTCTCCTCTCTGTATATCTGACTTACCAATAAAAATAAAATAAATCTTAAAAAAAAAAAAAAAGATTCTCTGAGGAACCCCACCTCAGTGCCATCTCCGGCCCACCTGTGTCTCTCTTGGAGCTGATTGAGATGGACTCCGCACCTGTGCTATCAGGCTGACTGCTTCTGCCCCTGCAGTTCTGGGACTGCCTGCTCCTACAGGTGAGGATGGGGCAGACCACATCCGTGGGATATGGAAGATACCTCAGAATTGTAGCTGAAGTACTTCCTCCATGCCAATCATGCCTGTCCCTCCCTGATGGCCTCACTCTCTGTGGACACAGTGTACGCCCAGCCGCAGTCCACCCATCTACCCCACCCCAGACTGCGGTCCTCCCTGCTCTCTTCACTCCCTCTCCTCTGCAGGATCCAAGCACCCAGCTGCCCTTGCCCCTCATACCACCCTCTCCTTGTGTCCTCCCCAGCCTGGCTCCAGTGAGGCCACAGCCACATTGCATTTCCCATCCATGTTGTCTTCCCTCTGCCCGCCGCTCTGAACAAACTCCTCTGCCTGTGGACTCGTGTAGCGATTCAGGACCTGGTCTCTTCCGCCCTCTGCTGGCGGCTCCTCGCTACGGAAGATGTATGCACAGTGGAACCAGAGGGAAAAGCAAGAGGGCAGCTCTGGTGTTCGGTCCCCAGGCCCTAGTGCAGAGGGAGCGAGCCAGCAGTGATCCAGGCGCAGACAGAATTCATGGTGAAGACAGATCACAGATGGCTTAAACGTTCTCCAGCCCTGTGGTTCCAGCCCCCTGCCCATTCCCCTCTGATGGCATCATGATCCTGTGCTCAAGGGAGGAGCAAAGTGCCATATCCAATACAGCTTCCCCAGCCCTGGCCATCCACATGATTACCGCAAGTGACCGTATCCCACCTCAGTCAGAGCCCACCACTGTATGTCACCCTTATGAAGACTGTCCCCAACACTGCCAGCCAGCCCCTCCACACACTGGCCCTGTACTCCACATCTCTGCTCCTGGGTCCAATCACTGTGAACTAACCTAGCAATTTTTTCTCACTTTGTGGAGTTGGCTTTACTCATCAATCTTCATTTTCTCACCAAAGCCCTGGGGTGTTTTCTGGCTGGGAAATGAGCTGCATGAGGATAAAATTGAGCTGGGAACATGGGGGTGGGGATGCCCAGAGCACCATCCGATGCTCAGCCAGTACCCAGAGAGCACCAGCTCTCCAGATTGGCCTGGCAGCATCCTCCCCAACTCAACAAGCAGTGGAGATGCAGAGGGGCCAGAGTTAGGACCAGAACCCAGATCTGCACAGACCGAGCTCCCAGGAGAGAAGCTCTCCACACCCACCTTTGGGCAGCAGGTGGCAGGTGATGGGGTCTCCCCATCACACCCCAAGAAACTCACCCATGCCCACCCTCGGGTCAGCAGGTGGCAGGGGGTGCTTCACCTACTTACCCCACTACACCCCACCTATATATCTTGAGAAGCCCCCCCACCCCCCGCTACTTTCCTGGGTCTCCCTCTTCTCAGTTATAAGGTAGGAGTGTCATTCCACACCTTGGGGGACATGGCAACACACTTGTTGCACCCAGCCCACCAGAGCTGCCAGCCCATACAGAGTCTTGATACAAACTCCAGGAAGCCCCCTTGGGTGGGTGTGGCCCTAAAAGCCTTGACCTAAGCAGCAGGGAGTACAGGGTGGATTTGGTCTCTTACATCCCCTCTGGCTGGCAAATCAGAGCAGCGTGCACCCTGGCCCCTGCAGCCCCATGCCTGCTCCCCTTCACCCCATCTCAGGGATTGGCCATCCCAGCCACAGGTACTGAAATTCAAGCCCCTTCTGAGTTCTACACCACCCCTCCCCTGAGCAATGGCATCCCCTTTGCCCCGCAAGCATCTTACCTGCCTCCAAAGAAGCTAGCAGGAGCAGAAGATAGCACTGGAAGCCAACGACACAGCGGGGTCTGCAGGCCAGTGGTTGGGCCATGTCAGAGCTGGGTGACTGCTCAGAACCATGGGCCGGGGACCCCTCATCTTATATGGAGCTAGTTTGACGTCATGGGGGTTGGGGCCCCTGGAGAGTAAGCCTTAAACAAATGAAGTGGCCCCACCCCACGGGGGTGCCCTGATAAGAGGATACCGCAGGCTCGCTGTGTCATAGAGCTTACGTAAGGGGTGGGATCCAGCGACAGGGAGAGAGAACTAGGAGGGAGGACTCCCGACCCAGCCCCGGCAAATGGAAGGGTTGGGCAGGGATGACTCTGGGCAGGAAGGCAGTAGTTGGTAAGTTCTAGAAGGACCAAGATCAGACTGGGGTAGGCCAGGCGGGGGCAGAGGGAAGGGGGCGTTCTGGGTGAAAGTTCACATTCCAAGCCCATCCCAGGGCTCCCCGATCGCAGCCCTCCATGGGCCTCACGCGTCAGCTGGGCTCTCCACACCCCTTACTCACACACGGGCCACTCTTGCTGCCCTGGGTGGAGCTGTCCGCAGGGATCAGGTGAAAGATCAGAGAAGGGAGAAGCCTTTACACAGCCACTGCTGCACAGGCAGGTGCTTCAGGATGCCCACACATGGCACAGCAAGCTGTGGGGACGGCGAGGGCACGGTCAAGAATGGGAGACCAATCCAGAGTGTGGGGACCGCCACCACACACTTCACAAAGAGCTCAGGCCAACCAGGGGCGCTGAGGCCCAAGTGCGGTAGTTACTCAGCATTCTGGGTCTTCTGCCCCTTTTGCCCTACCCACCCAAGCCTGATGAGCAGCTCTTTGCCTCAAAACCCCCACCTGCTCCTCCACAGACCTGCTCTTGGAGATGAGACCCCCTCTGCTTCCCACCCACCTCATGCCCAGCCTAAAGCAAGCATCAGCTCTAGGGTGGTCTCCCTAGTGTTGTAGCAGTCCCTGCGTCCCTAGTGTTTAGGGCTAGGAGAGAGGTGCATGCACTCTAGGATCTCTAAGAGATCCCACCTGTTCCGCCATGGGCTCATTCAGTTGCTCCAGGTCTCCCCAGTGGGAGCACTCCAGGGTCAGGCTTTGCTTCTGGCACCCCAGCATCCCCCTGCACCCGGGCTGGTGCCTCACCCACAGCCCTCACAGGTGCCTCCTGCCCTACATCATACAGAGGGCAGGCTAGCTTAGCGAAGTGGTGCAGCAGAACAAGTAGAGAGGCTGAGGCCTGGAGAATAGGAGGCCGGGCCCCGGGGCCAGCTGGGGTGCAGGAGAGGCTGAGAGGACTAAAACCGTGGCTCTCTCTCCTCGCCTGGCATGACTCGTGCCTAAGCCCTAGGCAGGGCTGGAATGGGTGGGAAGAGAACAGGAGGCCAAGTGTTCATTAGTACAATTGATGGGAGATTAATGAGGCTCCGTGCAGACCGACCAAAACCTGACTCCTCAGAACTGGGCTTCCTGGGCCGTGCATGATGCAGGGTGGAGAGGCTGAGGCCGAAGCAGACCTTCCCCTGTGACTCCATCTGGGCTTTCCACCTGCTCCCCAGCCCTCCCTGTGCCTAGGGACCTAGACCTCCAAGACAGAGATCCAGGAGAAATGGGGCCATTTCTGAGGATCTTCTTGCTACTAGGCTTTCAGGCAGGGAAGGGGAGGCATGCTCCTGGCATTCAGTGGGTAAAGGTTAGAGGTGCTGCTAACCCCCAGAATAGCCTCCTTGGCAATGACCCAGCCCAGCATGCCAGTCATGCCACACTTGCAAGTCTCCACTTTGGAAAGCCTTTTTTGAAAAAATGATTTCCATTGTCTTTATTGATGGATATGTTGAGAAGAAAGAGCATTTCCATTCACTGGCTCACTCCACTGATACCAGCCGTAGTCTAAACTGCACCAAGTCAGGCCAGGACCCCAGAATTCAATGTGGCTCTCCCATGTGGGTGGCAGGGACCCAAGTAGTTGAGACATCATCTGCTGCCTCCCCAGGAGCACATTAAACTAGTGGTTGGACTCAGGAGCACAGCTGGGACTAGAGCCCAGGCCCTCTGAGACAGGATATGCACAACCCAACCAGGGTCTTAGTCACTGCACCAAATGCCTGTCCATGCAATAAGCTGACTCAGTGTTTGTGAATGGCTGTCCCACTCCCTCCTTTTGTAGCTACCGTTCTACCCAGAGGGCCCAGACATCCAGGGCAGGTGGACCTGGGGGCAAGGAGAGACCCAAGTGGACCTCTGAAAGTCTTACTGCATTGGGGCAGGAGGCTGAGGGAGGCAGCCCCACTGATACCAAGGCTTGAACGTGCTGAGCACCTCCCTGGTGAGGCCCAGCCTGAGGCTGGCAAGGCCCTCCTCCCCTCTCCACTAAACACAAGTGAGTCTCAGGATAGGGAAGCGACGTGTCCCAGGCCACACACTTGGCAAGTGACAGCAAACACAGCAGCTGGAAGCACAGTGGCAGGGGAGGGCATTAGTTTATTTAGCAGCATTTGTGGCCCAGAGCAGATCCCGCATCTTTCCTGGAGGGATAAAATCAGGGGGCCCAGTGAGATTCCCTATAGAAGGAGCATGAAGGGGAAACCCCCATCTTGCTCCTGGGCCCTGAGTGGCCTCAGCTCAGGAACATCTCCGGCAGCTGGACACGGGGTGGGAATGGGAAGAAGTCAATGTTGCTCTTGGTCCAACCCAGACTCTGTGAGGCTGGGAAGGCCCCTGGTGCCCACCTGACCCTAGTCCTTCCTTTGTGGATGAAGAACCACAGTCTCAGGGAGCAAAATGATTGCTGCAGGCTGCAGGGCTGGGGCGGGACAGGGGCCAGAACCTCAGCCTCCCTCTGAGCCGGACAGGGGGACACCAGGATGAGGTAGAGGCAGAGACCCCAGAAATCTACTCTTGGGAAATGGCCTCAGCCGGGGCAAATGGGACAGAAGGGCCTGGGGATTAATCTGCAGAAGACCAAAGGGGTGGGGTGTGGCCTTCCTGGTCCCGCCCCTTCACTTGACAAAGTGGCGCTGGCCACCGGCCTCCAGGTGACAGCTATAAGGGGTCACAGAGCCACAGCCGCAACCCACATGCATCTCCCTCCGGAGCTGGCAGGCCTGTGGGATGAGAGGGATTGGGGAGAGGTTAGCTGAAGAAGCCTGTGATGCTGATGCCCAGCCCACATCCCTGCCACGGTGATAGGCACCTGCAAGTCATGAGCACACAGTGGAGTCCCTTGTGTCAGCCCCAGCCAAAGACTAGAGCTGGGGGTCAGGAAGGACGGTTCCTGAGCACAGTTGCCAGATGGGCCACCTCACCAAGACGTTTCCAGAACCACACACCCTCTCAGAGGCCACCACGGCCTCACACAGCAAGGAGTTCCACTTGCACATGTGTTCAGCCTCAGACCAGCATCCTGCTGGTTACCACTACCACAGGCACAGGCATGTGCTGCTGCCGTCCTCCTAGTGCCCCTTGGGAAGCACCCACGGCCCACTGCCATCAATGCCGCCCCTTGCAATGCTCGGCTGTCTTCAGATGAGCACAGGAAAGTCTATGTTGGTTTGTTTTTGCTTTTTACACAGACACTGCAAACCACTGCTCCCGCCCCAACAAACCAAGTTCCCAGTGCTTTTCCCTGGACAGAGGCAATGGCCATGAGGGAGCCTGCACCTTGAACACCCATGGGCACATGGGAGCCATGGGAGCTTCCCACCAGCCCGCTGGGACAGATGCCATCATGCTCATTTAATCCAGCATTCAGCAACCTGGAGAGCCATAACATCACCCTGGAGTGTATCACCCAGCTGCAGTGAGCCGTGCTGCACTGGCACACACCCTGTGAGTTTTAGTTAGCCTTGTTACTGAAGATTCTGAAGCACAGAGAGCTAACTAACTTGTACCAGGCCATACAGTTACCACGGAAGGGCTGAGATAAAAAGTCCTGACCCAGCATTGCCCAAGCTCACCCGGGGCCTCCAGGGGCTGCTCTATGCCATCTTCCACCCAGTCTCTTTCTCAGAAGCCTCAGCCACCACCCCTGCCAGGCATGTTTCTCTCAGCTGTCACAAATGCTCCTTCCCCTCAAGTACCCTGTCACTCAACATAGCAGGCCATGCCACACCTCCCAGCCTGACTCTCCCTCCAGGCCCAGGTGCCAGCCCCACAAGATGACAGCTTCACTCACCATCTTGACCCCGTACATCAGGCCAACAATTGCAGCCACCAGCGTGAGGGTGATTAGCACGATGGCCCAATCTGGAATGGAGCTCTTCTGGGGCTTCAGGTCTGAGGAGCAAAGGGAGAGATGGCTACCAGAGCAGTGAGACCCCATTCCTTCCATGGCCCCCATGCCCTGGACCGTGTCTGTCTGCAACTCTGATGTCCATGTGTCTCTGAGTCCCTGTCTCTCTACGTGTCTTCTGTCATCTGGGAACGGGTGGTCCACTTGCCTCTTCTCCAACTCCTGGGCACATGGCTGCTGTCCTTTCTGAGCCTTCCCCCATATGGCAGGCTCTGTTGCATGTCTGTCTACTTCTGTGATGCCTCTGCACAGTGAGGGTCCCCCATCCCAGTCCCTCTCCCCAACATCATCCCTAGTGTTGGTCCCTAGCAGCAAACCAGAGCTTGCTGCCCAGTTTCCTTTAGCAGTTTTCCCTGGTTCCTCACCCTAAAAGTGAGTGGCATGGGGCAGGGTATGCTCTGGAAGGGATAGAACAGCCCCATAATGGTGGGATTTCCCTACCTGGCTCTCACAGCCATGAAAGAGCTTCTTACCTGGCACAGGGCTAAGCCTGGGGGACGTGGTGGCCACAGCAGTGAAATGCCCTGATGCAGCCACATTGGATGCAGATGTCACAAGCACTGTTGGAACACTCCCAGGGGCTGTGGTGGGAGAGACCCATCCTGAGAGGGCAAAGCGGCAAGGGCTGGGAGTGACCCACACCAGAGCCAAGAAGGAACCACCGCTAGCACAAGACCAAGCAAAAACCTGACCAGGGTAGCTTCTTAGCAGAAAGCAATGGATTGATCCTCTGAAAATCAAAGAACTGAACACAGCCAAGACAGTCTGAAGGAACGATAGAGCAGGACTTGCAGGGTCACTCAGCACCTGGAACCCAAGGGAGACCAAACACTTCAAAGAGCAGAGTAAAGCCCAGAGGGACCCACACAGGTGCGGTCACCACTTCCACCCAAGGCAATCTCACAAGTCAATGGACAGGAAATGGAGAGGTCTTCGCAATGAGAGGTCTAGGCTAACAGGATATCTCTGACACAGAAAGTAAACTTGGACCACTGCCTCCCTGCATGCACGGAAATTCAGACAAGTCACATGTTTCAGTGCAAAAGTTAAATGGTGAAGTTTCTGGAAGGATGGAAGGGCATATTGTCATGATCTCAGAGTAGATAAAACAAAAAAAAAATTTTAAGTGTCAGGCAAGTATGAAAGGTACAAAGCACAAGAAAAAAGTTCATCAACTGAAGGACCCCTGGGGAGCCTCAGACAAGGGCCCTGCCTCCAGTGACGCTGGGGACACTGCTGGGCTCTTGGCACAGGCAGTTCCAGCACTCCCTGGCAACGGATGGGGTCACAGGAATCTCACCTGGTGCTGGAGACACTGCTCCAGGAGCTCCAGGCCTGGGACTGCTGGGGTAAGTCCCGGAGGGTGGAGCAGCTGTTGAAAAGCTTCCAGAGACGGAGGGGAGACCCCCAGAGACAGAGGGGAAAATCCCAGAGACAGAGGGGAGGCTTGTAGAGGCAGATGGAAGGTCCCCAGAGACAGAGGGGAGACCCCCAGAGACGGAGGGGAGACCCCCAGAGACAGAGGGGAGACCCCCGGAGACAGAGGGAAGACCCCCAGAGACGGAGGGGAGACCTGTGGAGGCAGATGGAAGGTCCCCAGAGACAGAGGGGAGACCCCCAGAGACAGAGGGGAGACCCCCAGAGACAGAGGGGAGACCCCCAGAGACGGAGGGGAGACCTGTGGAGGCAGATGGAAGGTCTCCAGAGACAGAGGGGAGACCCCCGGAGACAGAGGGAAGACCCCCAGAGACGGAGGGAAGACCTGTGGAGGCAGATGGAAGGTCCCCAGAGAGAGAAGGAAGACTGCCGGAGACAGAGGGGACACCCCCGGAGACAGAGGGGAGACCCCCAGAGACAGACGGGAGACCCCCGGAGACAGACGGGCGACCTGTGGAGGCAGATGGAAGGTCCCCAGAGACAGACGGGAGACCCCCGGAGACAGAGGGGACACCCCCAGAGACAGAGGGAAGACCCCCAGAGATGGAGGGGAGACCTGTAGAGGCAGATGGAAGGTCCCCAGAGAGAGAAGGAAGACTGCCGGAGACAGAGGGGAGACCCCCGGAGACAGAGGGGAGACCCCCAGAGACAGACGGGAGACCCCCGGAGACAGAGGGGAGACCCCCAGAGACAGAGGGGACACCCCCGGAGACAGAGGGGAGACCCCCAGAGACGGACGGGAGACCCCCAGAGACAGAGGGGAGACCCCCAGAGACAGAGGGGAGACCCCCAGAGAGAGAAGGAAGACTGCCGGAGACAGAGGGAAGACCCCCAGAGACAGAGGGGAGACCCCCGGAGACGGAGGGGAGACCCCCAGAGAGAGAAGGAAGATCCCCGGAGACAGAGGGGAGACCCCCAGAGACAGAGGGAACACCCCCAGAGACAGAGGGAAGATCCCCAGAGGCAGAAGAGAGACTCCCAGAGACAGAAGGGAGACCCCCAGAGACAGAGGGGAGACCCCCGGAGACAGAGGGGAGACCCCCAGAAACAGAGGGAAGATCCCCGGAGACAGAAGGGAGACCCCCAGAGACAGAGGGAAGATCCCCGGAGGCGGAAGGAAGACTCCCAGAGATGGAGGGGAGATCTGCAGAGACAGAAGGTAGACCCCCAGAGGCGGAGGGGAGACTCCCGGAGGCAGAAGGGAGACTCCCAGAGACAGAGGGGAAACTGGCAGAGATTGAGGGCAGGTCTCCAGACACGACATCCAAATTCCCCACTGAGGTCAGCTGCGCTGTTGGATGTAGAAGAAAAGCATTGAGATGGGATCAACAGTGCTGGCTGTCTCCATGAAGACAGCACCGATATCCCCCAGATCTCCTGCCTAAGCCCTAGGCTGACCATGTCCAGCCAAGGCCTGCAAGCCCAGGAGCAGCACCAGCACGGCGTCCATGGTGTGGGTGGCAGTGTACCCAGCCAGGGCCATCAGCGCAGCTCTTTAAAGGGTCTGAGGCCTATTACAAGTCCCTGGAAAGCCAGGCGTGCCGGGGCTTCCATCAACACAGGATCGCCATTCCCAGGGAGAGGCTACCAAGCTGTCCCAGGGATTAACCTGTCCCAGCCTGATCCCAGGAAGCCAGCAGCAGTGAGGAGAGTGAGTAAGACTGTGGGGACTCCCCCACCTGGCCCTTGGGTTCTCCCTGACCAGGGCCCTCCTCCCCAGGACTGAGCCAATCCTGGGGACAGGGAGACCCTCGTGCCAACCCCCAAGATCCCTGCTTCTGTTCAGGGACCGCGCAGAATCCCAAACTCTGAAGCTCGGCCACTGTGTGCTATCAACTGAGTCTGCGTTTCTTTGCTCACAAATCAATTTGGAAGGTTTGTCCTGAGCAATAAAGGAAATGCCATTGGTGATAAGCCTGGCACACACATGGCGGTCAAGGTTACGGGGCTGGGAGGGACACCAGCAAGGAAGGAAGTGGAAATACTTCTGCTCTACTCTTAAGAAGACCGCACTGCCTCAGACTGACTGTGGCCACCCCTGCCCCTGCCCCAGCCTTGCAAGCTACTGTGATTGTCACCCATTCTCCCTACCGCTGTGGCCCCTTGTCCTCTGAGACAAGCCAGGGGTCTCTGGTCATCTCTCTTCACATATAGGCTGCAGGCCCTGCCCCATCTGCATTCTCTGACTGCCGGGTGCTTGCCGCCACCAGGGGCCCTTCTGCAGCATGCAGTGTCCTTGGGCCTGAGAGAACAGATGACACTTAGGGAAGAGGCAGGAAGGTCGCATGGGTCCCTGTGCCCCCAGCATGTGGGACTCTTGACCCAAGTGTCTGTCTATTGAACATAGATGTCTAGCATCATGAACGTGGGCCTCCCAGACCTCTGCTACTGACCTACAGTGACCTTAGCAAGCCACTTGTCCTCTCTGTGCATAGCTGCCTTGTTTTCTAAGGGCAACAAGCTAAACTCAGTGGGTCCCAAACTCCCTCTCCGCATCTGCCTTGAGCTTGCCCCCCTGAGAATCCAAGGGCAGGAGCACAGGAGCACTGACAAAGCTCAGGCCTGCCCCTGCCACCAAGGCCACACAGGCAAGAGGGAAGTTCCCACAGCCCAGCTCTCTCATCAGCAGCTGGGGCGGTGGGAGTCGGGGAGCAGGACACTTGGCTTGGTGCCAACCACCCCTCCCTTTTGGGCCCACATTCCTAAGCCCTTGGGTGGCAAGGATCCTGAAAATTAATACCAGTTAATAATTAATCCCCAAAGAGCCACAAGAGGCCCAAGTTTGGGTGGGGTTCAAGCACCTGCGGGTGGGACACCTTCCCAGCCCCGCTTTCCTTTCTGTTTCCCTCCCTGCCAAAGCAGGTACCCACCCCTTCCAGCAGGGAGAGCGAGAAGAGTGGACGCAGAGCAAAGCAGCCCTCTCCACTTCACTGAAGAGCCCAGCAAACATCCCTCTCCATGGCCCTCAAGACCATCCCTGGAGAACCAGAAAAGCCAGTTGCCTACAACTCCCCCACCAGTTCCACCAGGCTCCACTGTTGGTTGGGTCCATAGAGGCCACAGGATCACAGATCTCTCACAGGTGTCTACTGAGAAGGAAGGTACCTGCCATGGGGTATGGGCTACCCCTCTTCCTCCTCCTGACCCTCCTCGGCTGCACTTGTGGAGCAGGTGAGCGCTAGCAGGTTTATGCCTGGGTCCAGAGAAGATGGGGCTCAGGGGCGGGGGAGGCACTTCAGCTCTGTGCTCCTATAGATCCAGGCTGAACCTCCATATCCCAGAAGTCCTGGACAGGCACTAATGAGGAAGCCAGACTGCAGGGTTGCAGGGCGGGTGGTGGTAGAATTAACATGGCAGGGGACTGCTCCTGGCACTCTAAGGGACCCAGCCACAACTGCTACACTTCTGGATCCCAGGACCAGGCTTGACCTTGCAGCTGAGATTGAAGGAGTCTCTTCCAGCAGACCGCTCCTCTGACACACACTGGCCAGCCTTGCTTCACCAGGTACTTCTATGGGAGGGGAGAGAGCAGGGCCTGCCTCTGGGATATGGCTGGCCCACGGGTGGGAACCAGGAGCCAGCCAACTCACCCTCACAGCCTCTCTTTCGCCCAGCTCTGCCTCCTCCTGCAGCTCCCAGCAGGGACCAATGTCACCGTTCACCACACAGGACCCCCTCATCGCATGGCGTGCTAAACATGAGGGCCCCTGGAGCCTGTGCCCCCTTGGCCCTATGTCCTGGCTGGACCTCACCCTCCTTAGTGGAAATAAACCTACTGAACCCATGGCCTGACTCTGTGGGCTCACGTGCGCTGGGCTGGCTGGGGCACAGTGCTAGCTGCCCCTGCCTTTGACCCCAACACTGAGCAGAGGGGGTACTGGGAAGACAGCCTCCCTAACCCCGGAGTCAAAGGCCCAGAGGGAATCAGGGAACTAATTGGGGACCTACACACTCACAATCACACTTACCCCAATGGGAGCAAAGCCCATCGCAACACCTAAGGAGGAAAGGAAAGCAAACGAAGGCCAGATCTGCACTGTAGTCTCAACACCTGCCCACATGGTCACTCACTGCAACCCTGAATGTTTCAGAGCAGATGTCATTGTCCTTGCTTGCAGTCAAGGAAATGGAAGTCCAAAGAGGATAAGCTACTTGCCCTAGGGTTCAACAGTAGTGTAGACACTAGCAGACAGATGTCTTGGGTTCAAGATTTTATTTTTTTAAAGATTTGGGTTTTTTTTTTATTGGAAAGGCAGATTTACAAAGAGAAGGAAAGATCTTCCATCTACTGCTTCACACCCCAAGTGGCTACAATGACCATCCTCCACTGCCTTCCCAGTCCTTAAGCCAGGAGCTGTACCAGAAGTAGAGAAATCAGAATCCAGCTGGGTCCCCTACAGGATGTCAATGCCATAGGTGGAAGCTTAGTCTACTACACCATGGTACAAGCTCTACGTTTCATTCACTGATGAATCCAAGCATCCAGAACAGGACCCAGCACATGACGAGTGTCTAAGAAATGTTTGTTGAACTAGGTGGTGGCAGAAAATTAAGGAAACGTGGTGATGGAAGCTGGAGCAGATCTTGGGCTCAGAGGGCTAAGTGGGTCAAAAAGGCAGGAAAATCAGACTACCCAGAGTCCTGCACTGCTTATGCCCAGCAAAAACACAGGACAGAACAACCCCATCTTGTCCAAGGTTCCTTCAAATTTCAATAGCAACTACAACAGCTAGAAAGAGCCTCCTGAGTTAAACACATTGGGTGTGGGGAACCCAGCCCCAGGTGGCTCTGTCCGAAAGAGCTGCTCAGATCAGAGTATGGATTGGAACATGACTTGGGCACAGCAGAGCCAGGCCCTGAACAACCCTGGGATGAGGAAAGGTACTGGGGGCAAGTGAGAGTGTGACTCAGTCAGCAGCTGTGTGTATGGTTCTGGCACAGAGGATGGCGGCACAGGATGCAAGCCCTGGAGCACCTGCAGCTCTTCTGTGTGGAGGAAGTCCTTGCTTCTCTCACACCTCCGGGGCCAGGGCCAAGAAGCCAGAACGCTTCCATCTGGTGAGCAGCAGAGGTGGAAGGGCCCGCACCGCTGGGGCACCATCAGCGAGTCCCAAAAGCAGGAACAACCAGGGCCACACGCCCATGTCCTGCCTCTGGAAAGCACCTCCTTCCTGCCACGAGGCAGGCCTGGCCCAGCACCCACACCCTGTGAGGCCCTGGGCCTGAAGCTAAAAGGTGGGTACCTTGTCTTCTGTTAGGCCAGGTTCCCAGGAGAAAACTAGCAAAGGCAAGGGAGTCACCCCTGGGGAGGGGTGGGGAGGATAAAAGGACCACAGGCAGCCACGTTTGGGGATTTTCAGGTTTATTGACTCCTTGCTCCTGCACTTGAGGAGTATAAACGAACAGGTACATGTCAGCTCAGAGAGGCTGGCAGCCATGCGGATCACATAGTCAGCCTCTCCATTGACAATGAGGGTGGACCCCAGTCTCTGAAATCCCACATCAATCAGACAGTAGCTAAATCCATCTGTCCTTCAAAGACAGGTGTGGGAGGGTGGTCCATTAGGGCTCCGAGTTCCCAGAGCTGGGGGACTTGGCCATCAGCTGCTGGAGGTGAGAGGCCGCCTGGTCCAGCTTTGACAGCTCCAGCTGGAGGGCAGAAAGCTGGAGGGGGGCAACAAGGAAGTGAGGGTCCCGGGCCAAGGCCCCACCCCACTGCCCCCGGTTCCCTGCAGAGCCAGTTCCCAGCATGGCCTCCCCGACCTCACCCTTTGCTGCCGCTGGGCCTCTGCCACCCCATCTGCTGGACTCCGACCCTTGAGGCCATCCAGCTGTTTCTGCAGCTTTTGCCTTCGAGCAGCTAGTCGTGGCAAGTGGGTCTCGGGCTCCACTAGGCCCTAAGAGAAGATCAAGGAGTGAAGCTGGAACAGCTGTGCCTGCCCAGACTGTCCCTGTATCCTGAAGCCCCTTCCCCCTGTCACAGGACCCTGGCCCTCCCTCCACACACAGTCCCTGCTTGCAGCCCCCAAGTACCCTGTGGTCACCTGCAGCTCCATGTAGACCTCAGCGGTGTCACTGAGTGAGGCTTGGGCCCAACCAGAGGGAGCCACCGTACCCTGGGCTAAGAGGTTTACGGCCCCACAGTGAGCCAGGGTGCCCAGGGGTTCCAGGAAGGCCTGGAAGACATCTTGCTCTTGGGGCTCAGAACTCTGCAACAGCACTGGGAAAGGCAGGCAGGGAATCAGGGGCCCAGGCAGCAGCCACCTCCCTTGCACCCCACCCCTCCTGACTCTGGGGTCGGCCCTCAGGCACTCAGCCCCTTCTCCACCCCAGCCTCTCCTTCTTGTAGGCAGCCAGTCAGGAACTAGGAGCAGCCTCACCTCGGGGCCGGGCTTTGGTGAGCTGGTACGTGGCACGGAGGGCCCTCAGCACCTGCACAGCCTCCTGGAT